CAAAATAGTCCCTCAACTTTGATTTAGTACAATTTGGCCCTTGACTTTTGACCTTCATTTCATGTATGCCCTTGATAAATTTCACTCCAAGTCCTCCAACTTTTGGGTTTGTGCATTTCAGTCCCCAACTTCAGCTTTTTGTCCATTTTTAGTCCCTTTTCATCCATTTTAGTGCCATTCTTCTTCTTCTCGGGGTTTTAGCCTAAAAACATGAAAATTACATAATTATGCACAGAAATAAACTCAAGATCAATTCCAATTAAATACAGAAAAATGCCAAATAAGTGTGTTTTTCCACACTTATCATGGACCTTGATGTCTCTGCATGGAGACGACGGTGGTGCTGTATGGAAGAAGATGAAGTTTGGGGGGTGGGGGAAGATGGTTTTTGGGGGTTTTATTGTTAATTTACGGTTTAGGTTCTCAAGGTTCGAGCTTCAATTATTTTGGTCCATGAAGTTCCAATTAAAATGCAAAGGTCCTTGAGTGACCATTAATGAAACCAAGTGATACTTCAGTGACTGTTAGTGCAAGTTTTAAACTTCAATGATCGTTTTGTGATTTTGACGTAACTTTAGTGATCATTGTGAAATTAACCCATTTCAAAATATTAAATTCAGCATTAAATATTCTTTAGGATCTAAGAATCTAATTCCAAAATCGATGCATTAGGTTGCAAATTCCCAAAATGGCTTTAAATGACATAATTTCTGAATCTGAATAAAAAAGAGGAAATTCTCCAATCAGATCTGGAATAAATCTGGGCTGGTACACAGGTGGACACAGCACTGGATTTCGCACTTCCTGAGGAAAAATCGGAGCCTAATCTGAGAGCAGAAGAAACTGTAACCCATGATTTGATTTTGAGGAACGCCGAAAATTGATTATAATTAGAAGATAGAGAAGAGAAATCAATTATAAGTTCCGATTTCGGTGTATGTATATGGCGTACAGGAGGAGGCAGCAACAGCAAGGGGGTAGATTTTCTACATCTCTAAGAGAAGATGTTTCTGAAAGTTCCAACAACTACAATTACGATTTTGTCCCTCCGCCGCAGCAGAAAGAGAGTTCCTCGTCGTCCTCTTCTTCCTCGCTAGCCGCTAAAGCCATGAGAGCTTCATCGGCGTATCAGGATTCGTCACTTTCTTCGGCATACGGACAGTCCGCCCTCCCTTCTCCTCGGGAGTCAATTCCAGTTCGGTCCTCCTCTCCTTCCTCTAATAAGGTTTGACTTTTGCCTTTTCCCCGCTTAATTGTGGTTTGAAACTTCAAGAGACCTTAATATTTTGTTGTTTTTCTATGCTTGGTTTGATATCATGGGATCTGTGGAATAACTGCGTTATTATAAACTTGTTTTTGTACTTTTATAATCGTTTGAATAATTTTACTGAATTATCTCAAGCACGCGACTTGTAAAACACCTTAGTACCCAACTGAGCATTTTGAAACATCGGGTGTTAACCGTTATTTCTAACGATGCTGCGAAACCTTTGTGTAGACTATTCATGTTGGGATACATTAGATGACACTCTATAGCATCAGAGGGAAATTACTGGTTATTGTTTTAAGAATGCTTTATAAATTCGACCTAATTCAGCCATGAGCGACCAGGATTCTTTGCTGTCATATTCTTGAGAGAGACCACCTTTCTTCTCCTCTCCATCTCGCCTAGTATTTTTTTTCAAAGTCTATTAATTATCTAGTTTTGCTTAAATCAACTGCATTATATTATTACAAAAATGGTCTAACATTCAGAAACAGTTTATGGACAGAATCTTTTTGTTTGCATTTGACTATTTCGTTCCAATAAGTGAAGTAGCAAATACAGATTGATGGGATTACTCAACCCAATAACAAGCCTCCTGGGTATGATATGAGGACTAAATAGGTGGATAGAGTTTGGTGTCCTTTCACACTACCTGTTTTCATCCACCCATATTCACCTGAACCAACCTCGTGCATTTGCCTCGTCAATTAAGTAGCATGGCACTTTTACATGACCCTTTATATCCAAAGCCTGCTAGAATATTGTTGTAATTTCAGAGTTAAAGAACACATTTTGTACTAATCGGATATTCTGGGGTGTTTAATCGGTTCGATATGGAGAATCATCTTTTAGTTCGATTTTACTTATAATTGTCTCAAGGAACTCTCGTTCTCTTTATTGAGCTATTTCAAATTTATCTGACCTGAAAATTCGAACTTGGTTATGTTTGATATTTATAACTGTTACATATTCTTCTGTTATTTCTACATCATAATGCTGCTGGTCAGTCTTCCATGCTAACCTGTATTCTGTGCTGTAGTAATATTTTTGTTATGGAAATATAGGATTCATCCGCTCATGAGTACACATCAGTGAAAAACATGAATGAACCTAAGCAAGGATTTTGGGGGGTGCTGGCTAGGAAAGCTAAATCGATTATTGATGATGATAATGCGGCTCAACCAAATGAAACTCTGGGAAGAACAAAATCTCAGACGTCAGATAAATCATCAAAGAGTCAGGTAAGAAGTTCTTGAATTAAACAGATTGCTCCTGTGAACAAATGCAAGAATTACAAGACTTCCTTTTCGGGAATACTGGGTCCTCTATTTTCTACGGTTTGTACTTTCTAAATTTCGTGCTCCCAATACTACGAAAACTTCACTCTTACTTTTGATAAAAAGGCCAGTCCTCCCCACCTATTTTTCTACTATTAATTTATCAAAGGTTCTATTCTTAATTTTGGCAAACATTCTTTGTCTTACAAGATTTATTAAGTTTTGTTTTCGACTATATAGTGAGAATTGTCTGTTTATATGTCTGGAGATACTGAAAGCATACTCCATTTCTTTATCCTTGTTCTTTCATTTACAGTACCATAACACATACAACTCTTCACAAAGCCGTCGAAAGACAGACAGCCCATCACTACAAAAGGGACTAGATGCTATTGCATCGTCACTCAATTACATTGGTGGAACAATTGGTAATGCTTTAGAGGTACGTTTCTTTATGATTCTGTTCTGGAAATAGTGTAACTATGTTCTTCTTATTTGCAATTTTTAAATCAAATTTTGTTATGTGGTGGAGATCTTCTCACGAGTGGGTCATTTTAAATTATGAACGGTTCTGTATCATTCAAATACAACCATGCAGCTTCAATTTTTATTTCTGAAAGTAGAGTGAATACGTTTTTTTTTCTCATTTGAAGTTTTTAAATCAAATATTATCACACCGTACCATGGTGGAGATCTTCACAGTAGTTGATCGTTGTAAGTGACGAGGGGTTCATCGTCTTTCAAATCCAACCTATCAATATTGTCGCCATGTGAAATTTTTATTGATGTACACCTGTTAGCATTATCATCACTTTCTCTTTCTTCATTAGCCTACTTGGTGCTGGCAGAAACTCTACAGTCAAAATGACCAGCACCATAAATTACCTTTGGGAAGATGAGAAAAGAGTGTGTTGAACTTGAAGGATCGTGCATGGATGAAGAAAATTAACAAGACTATTATCCAATCACCACTTAGCAGTCGAAAGAGCCACCACTCTTGACAATTATTACATTAATGTCTCTATCACCAGTCATGGCACATATTATAGTTTTTGGGAATAGAAATAATTTCCTAGAAACCATCCAGGTCTCAAAATTATAGTTTACGAGTACAATTATAATTACATCTATAGTTACATTATACATTTATGCCAAACATGTCTCAAAGATGAATGTCCAATTTAAGTACTCTTCCTGTCCTGTAGATGCACTGTTTTTAAGAATTGGTGAGTAAAGTGCGTAGAAGTTGGCATTATGATTTTTGATTATATATTTCCTACAATGCAATTCTAATAGAGACTTAAAATACCTCTATGTTGATGCGTTCACTTTCTCACAGAGATTAGAAGATGGTGAATACTATCTATCAGATCAATTGGTATTCTTTTGCCATTTGAGTTTAGTTCAGAATTGAAGCAAATTTTCCTCAAAGAAATAAGGGAATTTTAAGTTGACTTTTTGCAAGAGCATTCATGGCTATACACATTGATAATACCTTTATTAAATGGCCGCCACCCTTTGTTGCCCATTTAGTGAAATATAACCTTACCTTTCATACAGTAGGATGTGGAGTTAGTTTCGAAATTTCAGACCAGTAGGATAGGTGCTTTTTCCCTGTTCAATACCATCTTAAGAGGAAACTTGTCACAAAATGGAAAAAAAAAGTTTAAATGAATAACTGAATAAGAATGGAAATGAAACAAATGACAGGCTAAGACCCCGTTTGGCGCCCATTAAACTATAATTCATTTTTCTCTCTTTTTATCAACCACACATTCTCCAATAAAATAATATTACACGTAAATTCAAAAAGGTTTTCCGAAAAATTACTATTCCTCTCATTGTAATGGGGGCCAAACTGGTGCTAAATATTTTCCTTGCCTTGGGGTGCATGTTTAGGAAATTTCTTCTATTTGTCACCAGACTAGAAAACCTTAGCTATACTGATTGTTGAATTATACTTTTTGCAGGAGGGTCTTACAACTGTGGAGAACCGCACTGCCGACATTATTCAAGAGACTCGCAAGTTTCAGATAAGGAAAAAGAACAATAGTTCCGAATCACAGAATCAGACTTCTAATATTGATAGCTTACGGCAACAGCCAATGATGCAGACGCATATGCATACCGATTTGGAAACTCAATTGAAGGCATCTCGCGACGTAAGGTGGCAAATGTGTAGCACTTGTGTAAAAGTGGCACTTTGCATATCTAGTTTGTCTTTTTACTTTACTAGTTCATGTTCGAGAAAATTAACTGATAATTCTTTATACCATCTCAAGTGAAGTATGCATAGCATTAAACATGATAAGGAATGTTCAATAGTCAATACTAAATGGTTAATCCAATATTTAAAATCTTTTTTTAATTTATTGTGGTAACCAATCTATTGCGGTGTCATGAACTGGATGCATCCCCTAAAATGCCCGGGGCCTTGTACTTTTCTTGACTGGTTCTCCCATCTTTTAATGAACTATTGATCATGTATTCTTTTCTCAATGTTACTATTTTTGGAACAATGCTCGGTTGCATGTGTTGTCCTTATTCTCCTTATCCTCTTATGATTTTTTAGTTTCTATGGTTCCTTCCACCTGAAATAAAATAATTTTTTCTCGTGTTTGTGTTTTGTGGATTTCAAAATGCATTTACTTCTGTTGGTATTATTCGTAAATTGGAATAAGTTGACATCTGGTAGGAAATGGTTGCCTTTTGTCTGTTGAGACCCTTGTTGGTGTATTTGTGTGAATATAGTGCTATAAATCTGTTAGTGGTAGAAATATGAACAGGTGAATTTATGCTATTGGTAGGAAGAGCATTGTAGCTGTTGAAAAATATCTCCCCTTAAATTTCACCTACGTCTTTTAATATTTTGAGGTCAGACTTGTGATACAATAGTGAGATGCATGATAGGCCGTCCATTCTAAATTTCAGGTTGCAATGGCAATGGCTGCAAAAGCGAAGCTTCTCCTGAGAGAGCTGAAGACTGTCAAAGCAGACCTGGCTTTTGCAAAGGAGCGTTGTGCACAGCTAGAAGAAGAGAATAAATTCCTAAGGGAGAGCCGTGAAAAAGGAGACAACCCAGAAGATGATGATTTGGTAAGTAGTCTGTCTCTGTCTCTCTCTCTTTCTCTCAGGACTCTTGTTCTGACATTACTGCCATGCAATAAAAATATAATCCAAATCCCATGTCCCTCATTGTCACTGTTCTTCTATGTACCCAGTGCCTACCCCGTCCTTGCTCTCTGCTGTCTGTTCCACCACTCATAACCTCACTGCACTACCATTCATCCACCATCTCTTCCTTTTCCTGCAATTTAAGCCCCTCCCCATCCCTTAAAATGCATTTGTAAATCTCCATCATTACTAGTGCAGTTTCTATTTTATTTTCTTATGAGTTTGTTATGCTTTGGTGTCTATGATTTCAACATATTCATAATAT